CTAAGAACAAACTAAATCAACATTTTTTACTCCACATATGCTAAGCACCTAATCTGTGTTTGGTTTTGTTCGTGAGGGATTGTTTTCAAGCAATGTGTCGATGCAAACAGCTGGTTTGAATTTAAGTTCCTTGAGATGAATTGTCGTAAATATCGATATATAAATAAACTGAATCGAATTTCATTGACAGGAATCCAAAATTCGGGCCAGCAACATTAAGATCCGTTCCTTAGAGCGGCGATCCTTCATTCTCACGCTGGACAGAGACAAGCGGAGGACTTACAAACATGTGCAAAGGTAACAGTTTCACCTCCTTTACACTGCAGAGCTGCTTGTGTTTCTACGTGTGTTACAGATAATGTCTGATGCAAAATAACCTGAAAGCGTTTTCCATACCTGTGACATCTGGAAACAGCTAAGATTGATCAGCTTTTCTTAACCTTTTGATTGTAGCATCGAGATCTCTCCTTGTCTGGATCCAGGATACTGCGTCCAGAAAACCATGAGGTCCAAATTTTGCTTGGACGCAGAAAAGGACGCCGGACTGAGCAAATACATGAGCAAAGCGCTTCCTTTGCCCATCAACACATTCGCTGGCATCATCAACTAATGAGTGAAAGTCGGCCAACACTTCGTCAGTAAATAAGGATAACCTCACTCTGTTTTCTGAGTGGAAGTGACGGTCGTCTACCTGGACAAAAGGCAACCTTACAGACCAATGAGCTGCTCTTTAATCGAAAGTTGTCTGCATCTGTCCCTCTGCTCTGACTGACTGTTTACTGACTGTTTCTAAGGAACACATTCAATACTATGATTAAACTGTCTGCTGATTTGGCAGTGTTAGAAAGTGTGCTGCAGGATGGGATAGCGCTTGATTAGCATCATGCTCCTCCTAAATAGCCTGATGTGTATTCTTTGATCATCACAGAGGTTCATTATGTTTAAACAAATACTACCTGTAGAGAAAATGAAGAAGGCTCTGAGCCAGTAAAAGGTGCGGCCGCCATGTTAGAGGTGCGGCCGCCAGGTTATAGGTGTGGCCACCAGTTTAGTATTGCGGCAATTAGGTTACAAGTGTGGCTGCCAGGTTAAAATTAACTTGTCGGTTCTTTATCTTTTGGTTGATCAGCGTTTTTTTTTCTCCCAAATCTGTAAGGAACCTGATTCATAACAGCATTGTGTAATTTTGAAGTTTTTAAGACCTGATCTCGACGCTTATGTTAATTCTGTATCCACACTACCTTTAGACTCCCTCAGCGACATACACAACAGTTAAGCCCCCTCACTTGGCCGCCGCCATGCTGGAATATTGCCCTCACTGCTCTTATCTCATCTCTGCTACACTCAGACATCTGCATCCACCTCATCTTTTGCATGAAGGAAGCTTTAATCATGGAAAATGACTGACAATCTGCTTTGGTTGTAAGATCTCATAAGATATTGAGATTAAAACCATGAGCTGCATCAGGAGTTACTCAGGACAGAATTGAGGTGTGATGCTGATCAAAGACACATTCAAAAGGTGCTGATCGACCTCCGACCTAACCTCTCCCAATGCACCGTGCACTACCCGCAGGGACGGCGTGTTGGAGTCGCACACAAGGCAGACATCTTGGAACAAGTGAACATCTCCCAGTGGAAAACTTTACATTAGTGGTGAATATTAGAATTGAAATGATTGTATTGCACTAAAGGAGCATTTAAACAGACTGTAATTACTGTGAAGTATCTCATTAATGTTTGTTGTCCTGCAGCTTAAAGAGGGATGACTGTGATCTGAAACGACTTCTAGTTCGGTAGAAGCTGTATGTTTGTCACCTGCTTTAAATAACAGTCCTGGTATTAGCAGGAGTGCTAAAGCTAGGCCAAAGGAGGATTAGCCTGAAACGGACTTCCTGCCACGTCACCAGGTTTTTTTTTTTTGCCCAGAAGCTGATGATTATTGAGACAGGAAATGAAGTATGAAGCGGTGCAGCATCAGCAACCATCCTGACGTACTGAGAACCGCTGTAGCTACCAGATCTGCTCTGGTCCTGCTTTATGCCAATGACGTTACGCTACATGATTGGCTGAACGTTGCCACAGGATGTAAAACATTGTGGTTGCCCAGACAACGACAATGACATCACGCAGCGTCCGTTAGCATGTTTTACCTGATCAATAACAAAACTGAAAAGAATCTGTTTCTGGTGAACAAACTAAATATTAGACTATGATATAAAGGG